AGCAGCAGCAGCAGCAGGTCGATCGCGGCCCTCGCTGTACTTGCTGTGTGTGTGGCTTGCCTGCTGCCGTGACGTGACACTCCGATGCTGCCTCGATCAATCGTGAATCACGGATCCACGAACGGCCTTGGTTGGTGTTACGGTGCGGTTTGCTGTAAAGGGAACAGCACAGCAAAGACAAGCCGTCCTTCCCATCTCCATTCCGATCTGACGATCAGTCGCAAAGTCATGCTGTTGTGCTCTCCAACCCCACCATTGCCCCGACTTGAAGTCGCCATGGTTCACACAACCATCTTCGTAGACTGAATCTCCGCGCCGAAGAGCAGCATCTATCTCTATTGCAGTTCGCAGCAACATCCCTTGACTCTAGAGGCAGCAGACTGCGGCGGCCATCTGCAGACGCAGCCAGCGATGAGACAGTGGGCAAGATGACATCTCTACTATCGCCCTTCCATTTTGGCCAGCAACGGCACGCCTACTTCCAGCTTCGCGTGACTATCCATGAGCTTAGCAACGTGCCTCTCGTCAGCGGCAACTTTCAGGCCAGATGGAAGATTCGGAACGCACATGGCGGAGGTCCGCACATCCCAGGTGCGCATCATCTACCCCAACTCAACCCACACGCTAATAGCAAAGGTAAAGGCAAGGTCAAAAGCGCCGCCGAAGAGGTAGAGGAAGACGATGTTACATCCAAAGGGACTCACCACCGAGAAAGCACAGCTGAGGAAGATGATCCTACGCTCGATGCTGCGAGCACCAATGCTGGACTTCGAGGCCACGCAGAGGCGTCTGGTAGTCGGACAGAAGCGGCTACGTCTTCCAAGGGCTTCCTATCCAAAGTGCTGCCAGGCAAACGGTCGGCTGATGCCAGCGCGAGACACTCACCTGCAGCCGATGCCAACTCTCCAGCCTCGGCATACGCAAGCCTTCACAGTGACTCTCCTCGCCACGGCAGCAGTCCGCGAGACAGCTCGGATCGACACACGTCCAGAAGCAGACTCGAGGACTCGCCCAGGCAAGCACCTGCAGCATCTCTCGCTGCTAGGAGCAGCACCGCAGCCACTGAGATGCAAATGTCTGAGCCGAGGGGAGAGACGAATTTCACAAGAGTGCGCGATCATTGTGCCTCTTGGGAGAGAGTAGTGGAGACCGCACTGCGCATGACTGTGGAGAAACCACGCAACCCTTCTGGTGGCTCTACCTCTAGCGCAAATTACCCGCCGGCCAGTGCCGGCACCTCAAAGGAAGGGTCTAGCACGCATCTGTCGCCGCATGGGGAGCCAGCAAAGAGCAATGGTCGTCTCCACAAGAGCCATAGCTCCCGAAGTCTGCGTACCAATCAAGGTGCGCCAGAAGGACATGATCCTTCTATCGGCCTACTCGCTTCCAGTGAGCTTCGTATCAGCGTCAAGACGGTGAGTGGTCTGACAGCAAAGATGACAAGCCGCCCAAGTATCAGAGTGCTGGGCGCGGAGTGTATTCCAACTTTTGAGACACCACTCATTTCAATGTGCTTCTTTTACAGGATGTAAGCACTGACGCCTCCAGCAACCACGGCGAAACACTTCATCGCCTGGGATTTGTTGTCATCAATCTCGCAGAGTATGCACCGACAGTGCCCAAGCACCACCACCATCACCATCACCATCCGCACCATCACGCCCACCACCACCAACATCAGCATGGTCATGGTCATGCTGGGCACCTCGCCCCGTATCGATCGGAAACTCGAAGATACTTGCTCTCGGAAAGCCGGACGAATGCTACGCTCAAGCTGACGATCGAGATGGCGTACGTCGGCGGATTGCCCGATTTTGCGGTACCCTCTATACGGGCAGGTCTGCCCGTCGGAGGTCTCGGAAGTCTGCTAGATGGTGCAGCCGCCAATCTTGGCAACAATACCGACTCTAGCTCCGATGGTGCCGGCGGCAACCAGTCTGGTCTCAACACCGCAGCTAGCAGCAACGTTTCGCTGCCGAATGCTGCCCTTTCTTCGTGGTCCCCCTCAAGTGTGGCCCGGCATGCACGCATTCCAGCATCGAATCTCACAACCGAGCTTTCTGCCAAAGAGCTCGCGCGTGCTTCCAAAGTCTCTGGCGCGGGTGCTGGCCGTCTTGCGTTCTCTTTCGCGGGGGCTGCGCATCACGACAGACCACCCGAGGAGGTCATTGATGCTATCTTGTGAGCTCCACTGAATCCTCAGAAAGAGACAAGCACTCTCGCTGATGCTCTTGTGCTCCTTTTCCTAGTCACCCTGGTCCTGCTAGTAACGCAGTGCTCATGCTTCAATCGACCGTCAGCCGTGCGGACAAAGTCCAACGAGATTCTGGGGGTCGCGCAGGCGCCAAGACGCCGTCCTCAAAGCAAGGTCGAAGCGGCGATGGATCCACGCGGGTAAGCGAGCGGCGGGCAGCGAAAGAGAAGGAACGCGATGCGGAAGATCTTAGGGCCATGGCAGGAGCCCCAAAGCCAGAGCATTACGACGCGATATCTCCCGCTCAATCTCCAGTACACAGTACCGAGGCGCAAGGATACCGTGGCATCCCAACCGCTCTTGCATCACCTGCGGAGACTGTCACGCAAGGGAGCCATTACGGGGCCGACGAGACCATGGCAAACCGCTTGACAACCATCATTAGCGCTGATGAGGTATCCTCTGCCCCTGCAACCAAATCTGCGGGCCCGAAAGAACCCCAACATGCTGCCAAATCCGATTCCAAAGACTCGGCGGTCATGTCGCAAGGCTCCGGGTCAAGCTTGTCTTCTGTGCGACCCATACTCAGCTCGGATCCGCGCTCGCGCAAAGGCTCTCGAGCGGCCGCAGCCGGAGGTGCAACAGGTTTGCAAAAGCGAAACAGCACAAGCACAACAAGTAGCGAATACACCGACGGACAGTCGAAACGTGGTCCATCAAGGCCGCATTCTGTACACTGGGATGCCAACAGCTTTACAGAGCCCAACGCGAAAGGGTCTGGCTCGACTGACAGTGACGTTCGAGAGAGCCATCGCAGAAGTCCTGTCTTTCCGCAGACACCTGCTGTCGTCAAAGATCGCGAGGTGACAGCTAGCCCACGATCCATTTCTCCTTCGCGAGAGCGAGACAGGCAATCCTCCGGCTCGACAACCGCGCAGTCCCAAAGCAACAAAGGGGCTATCAAGAAGGGTGATGATGTATTTACAACGGACCGCGCGAGTGACGCAGGAATTGTGGGTGTGACTAAGCTACTCAGTAATCAGGAAGCGCAAGGCGAGACAATGGAGCAAACGCTCTCTGCGGCTCAAGGAGTGTCTAGGGAGGATATGGCAGGCTCTGAGAAGAAAGCTGGCGAGGCTCTTGAGTCGCACGAGGGTGCGCCTGGCTGGGACAAGCCGAGCTCGGCCAAGCTGCCACAACAAAAGCCAAGGGCGAGGGTGCTGCGTGGCGCTGTCGGCATATCGCCGGACGAGGCGGCTCAAAAGGGCTACCATGGGGCTGGTTGGGGCAACCTACAAGCAACATGCATTCCGGGCGGCGCGCTTCTCAAGCCTGCATGCGCTTCGTGCTCTCCAGCTTTCAGCTCGTCTGATCGTCACTCGTCTGGACAGTGGATATGGTCCTCACCTGAAGGCTCACCGCAATATTCAAGGATCGCGCGAGATTTTGCCTTGGGCCAAACGCCAGCTCAAGCTCGGGGAGCTGCAACTGAAGTCGGAGCAGGAGACGATCAGGGTAGCGGAGGTCGCCGCGCCTCTGCCATGCAGAGCGGGAATGAGCCTGCATCGGTCGAGCAGGTGATGGACGCTGCGGTGCACTCTGATCTGGAAAGCGCCAACGATTTGACCCCGAAAGCTGCCCGACAAGCTGTTCATGTCTGAACTTTTTGCGCTTTGCCAGACACTTGCGGTGCGCTTTGCTCTCTCACCATGCTCGCCCTCCTATCGGTTCCTATCCTGCACCATTTGCAACATGTCAAACGCGCAACTGCTCGTGCTCCATCATGTACAATAATACGCTGCTTTAGAATGCCCCGTGTCAAACTTTTTTACCCTGCCGTTCAGCTTGCTTTAAACATGCAGCGCAGCGCGTTCCTGAGCAAGAGAGTGGATCGTGGAGACTTGGAACGCTCGCCGAGACTGTGTCTGCCGCTACTGCGTTGATAGTCTGATTCAGTTACTCACTGCCAGAGCTGCCGTCGGTGCACGCGAGGTGAGGCCGATGGCAGGCGCGAGCGCGATCGTAAGTTGAGGTCACGCGGAGCTATTTTGGCCTGCATGGCGTACGCTGCTGCTGCTTGCTGCTCGTGGCGATGAGACCCTTGATGGCGCTGCAGCCGGAGACGGGCGAGCGATTCGAGATCGACTACATGCTGCGAAAGCTCCACACCGGCTGGCAGCTTCAACCTTGCTGCCTCCCATCCACTCTCTATAGATGCCGTTTCAAGCCTCGCTTGAACACATGCTCGTCGCTGCCTTTCCCTCAAGACATCGTCCCAGTCTCGCCTCTTGGCAAGCGTGACATGATTAGCGAACAAAAGCCACCCTTGGACTCATCGCCTTGCTGACGCATTCTGACGATTCACAACGCGCGAGGAGGTGAAGTTGAGCTGGGGCCCTGATTTGTTTCGACGCGCACGCAATGTCGCACTCCCAAGACTCACAGGATGCTGGACAGCACGATCAGCCAGTCAACGCTTCTCAGTATGCTCCATCACCACGTCGCAGTGGCCTGCGAAGCGTGCAAGAGACTCTCTACGAAGAAGCAGAGGAAAGCTCAGACGATGATTTCAACAGGAACAGGATGACTGCTTCGAGATCCATCCCCGGTGCCTCCAAAGCGGGTGGCTTGTCAAGCGAGCTCGACCCTTTCCAACGGCCTTCCATTCAACATGCAACCGAGGCGCCGGACGAGGATGCGGTCAACTCTGATATGCCTCGCACGCCACCTGAGGCAAACAACCACAACCACAACAACAACAATTACTCTAGACCTCGACCTCGACCGCTCGCAAACAGACAGGAAGAGGCTAGTGCGAGCTCTGCCAAACTCTTGCCAATGCAGACCTCCGACACCAACGGCGGCTCTGCATCTTCATCCTTTGCATCTGGCTCCGCCAGCAAATTGCCTGCGGCAGGTGTTGGTTCGCGCGTCGGACCTCGACCTGTACCCAAGGATAGCTCATCTTTGAGGCACATTTCTTTTAAAAGTCGACTCGCATCTATACCTGCTGAAGAGCGCAGCAGCAGTCCAAATGCGTCCGATCGACCAGTGGCCGCTGCGATAGCTGCACGGCCACACTCTTCGGCCTTGGCCCACGAGGGCGACGGTTTCGTAGTGGACGACGAGGATGAGGATGGCGTAGAGTTGGGCGAAGATTCTTCCAGAGGTCATGTTGGTGCAGCAGGAGGAAGCTCAAATGCTAGCAACGGCTCAAGAGACGTGTATGGGGATATTGACGCGGCACGAAGAGCTAGATCGGATCGAGCTAGGAGGCGCGCTGCTCGGCGTGTGCGCGCCAGACCACATCGTTCAGACAGAGGCATACTCAGCGCTTCCAGCAGCGAGGACTCATACGAGAGCAGCGAAGACTCCGAAAGCTTAGATTATGCGCAAGCATTGGCCCACTGGAAGTGGAAGATGCGTCTAGATCCAGAGGCGGCTGTGTACGCACCCGAAGCAGCACGCGATCGTGTCGACAAGATTGGGGTGGATGGACCTACGGAGGGCACACCGGCAACGGCTGCAGTGTTCGAGCAGCAAAAGAGGAGATCGGGAAACCCGGTGCCAAGACGTGCTCCTTGGCACGCTCGCGGACCAGAAGTGCCCGCGGGCGGTTTGCTCACGCCAGGACCTCAATGGCCAGACCAAGTGAACACACCACTGGGAACACCGCCCGGTAAGTACTTTCCCCGAAGTCGTTTGCTACGTAGCCTGCCTGGTCTCTTACATTCGCAAAACGTTGCGACTTGCAGATCTCCATTCTCCTGCTGCCATTGAACCGCGGGTCCGGCTGGAATGGCAGACCATGCTGGAATCTGTGCTCGCTTCTGACGTTTTGCGCAGCGAGACGAAACGCATCACATCGGCCGACGTCAAGATCCACACTCGGCAGGAGCAGATGTACATGCGATGGCTCGACATTCATGCTAGTCTCCGCGGCAGGGGATACTACGCAGGAGCGGTAGAAGCGGAAGAGAAGCGCCTCAGAGCTGGCTGGAAGGAGGTCGTCACGGCTTTGATACGCGACGTTCGGGAATACAGGGAGCCTTCGCAAAACAGCGAAGCGGAAGAAAGCAAGGATGCTGATCTCAGTCAGGCGACATCGGTCGACAACGCGAGCGTCGCGACTTTTGGGGCTGACAGCCATGACGCAAGAGCATCAGCGCGCGACAGTGCAAGCGCTAGCGACACGCAGGAGAAAGTGTACGCCGAGATTAAGGACCTACTGATCCGCGTCGATAGCGCAGAAGAGCAATTTCCGTCGAGACACAAAATGATTGAAGAGATGCCGGAATGGGGCGCTTTTGATGTTCAGGGAAAACTCGCTTCGTTGTATTCGTGGTACAACATCTGGAACGGCATCGAAGACCAGGTGGCCACTTTGCAGAGGTGGACAAACACGGAGGATTTGTCGCTGGAAGAGCCGCGGGACTCCACGCGCTACCCTGTGCGAGAAGGCGCAGAGCAAGCAGCTAAGCCGGATCAAGGAGCGAACAAGAAGCTCGGCTTTGCGAGCGATATGGTGGTGGAGCTTGGTCCCCAAAACCTGCTCGAAAGGATCGTCAAGGAAGACACATTGCAGGCCACATTTGAAAAGCGAACGCTTGCACAGCTCAACGTCTTCATCGTCAAAGCTCGGCGCTCCATCCTAGACAACAGCGCTACCTTTGGCCGCCTCAGATTGCCTTCGTTCGAGCCAATGCTCTTGAGACTCATCAACTTCCCGACGCGGCTTGTGTACAGCGCCTTGCGTCTGCGTCTCATCAACGGCTACAAAATCCGCGAGCCTTCTATCCTCATCGTCGACTCGATGATCGACGACATTCGCGCCGGCCTCGCGCTCGGTTGCCGTGTCAAGCTGCAATACGGCGCCGTAGCGGAAGCTGAGCCGCAGCGAGGATGGGACCCACCATCGTGCATCGCGGAAGGCTACGATGCGCTGATGAGAGAAGCGCTCAGGTTCTTCTTTAGACTTTTGAACATCAAATTGCGCGGCTCCGTCTTCTTCAAAGAAACGGAGATCTTGGAACCTGAATGGGTTTTCCTGAGCAATGCGTCTGAGGTGATCGAGCAAGGAGACATTGTCGTCGCCAGGAGTGTGATCCGGGTCGTCAACAAGGTGAGAATATAAAGTTCTTTGCATCGTTCTCATCGCGCCGGCTGACGATCAGCCACTTCACACCTCAGCTCTTTGCGCGAGTCGTGACGTACATTGAGCGCGAGCTGGCAGCACCCAGTCTTACAAGAGGCGCAAGGATTGGTGCGCCCACGGACGTGATAGGCGGATTGGCGTCGGGTCACAACCCGCGGGGCCCAGCCACGGCTGGAGCACCCACCCGAGGCAAGGTGCTGATGACGCTAGAAGAAAAGGTCAAATGGATCCATCTTGTTTTCGACAATGTGCGCGTTCGATCGCGTAAATTGCTCGGATTTGCTCGTGACATCCGCAACAGGCTTGACAACGCAGCCGAGTACGATCTCAACAGCCTGCAATCTCCACTGGAGGGAGCTTCTGGCGACGAGGCACACCACAGCGATGCCAGATCGGCCCAGTCTGGCAATGGCGCGGGACATGGCATGGATCTCAACACTTTTATGCAGACCTTGATCAATGCCGATTACTTCTTGGTTCTGACAGGAACATTCGAGGCTTCGGGCATCTACGTCATCGCGGAGCCCAGCTTGCACGATAAGCCTGAACTTATCCGGGAGCTGTTCAATCGCTGCATGCGCTACGGAGGCTCTTCAAAGGGACCAAATGCTTTGAATGTAGACGGGGTGACGGCAGCCGCAGCCAACATGCATCCCTTGGACAAGACACACGAGGACGAAGAGGGCTCAGACATTGGCGGAGGTGATGCAGCATCGCGAGCAGACGACGCTGAGCTTTCGCAACCACCACGGTACCTCTTGCTGATGAGTCCTCGAGATGGCTTCATGTGGACCGGACGAATCATGTCGCTCGACTTGCCACCGCTTGGGGTGGACCTGCAGGAGAGGCGCCTGCGCCTGATTGCCGATGGTCCCAAGACCAGGCTCACCATGTGTAAAGCGCACCTTTACGGTGTGTTTCAAGCTGCCTCTTTGTTCCAACAGCAGCAAGCCAATGTGGCTTCTTCGTCTTCCGCGGCTGGCGTGCCAAATGTCAAGGCGCACGCCCAGGAGAAGGAGTCCGGCAGTCCACAACAATTGCAGCCCTCGCCATTTCCGCTCGAGGTCATTCATGAACACATGGCTCATATGTCTGCAGTCCAAACGGAGCTCAGAAGGGTGAATAAAGGCGTCTATATGCTGTCCGACACAGTCATCCGAGCGGTGCCGGCTCTTCGGAGAAGCCTACGACATCGCAATCGGCCCAATGCGGCATCCCAGGCTACGCAACAAGACGCCGCTGGCAACCGCGCAGGACTGACCGGACCGGCTTCCAGCGACGACTTGATCCAGAATTGCTTCGGCATGGCGGCGGAACAAGGCTTCCGTGCGCTCCCTTTCATCGAGTCTGACAGGCTGCGGGGCCAGATTATGCTAGCGCTCGCGCGCCTCTCCATCGACTGGGTGGCTTTCATTTGCGACGATTGCATACCGGGTGACCGCAAGACCTTCAAGTGGGCTGTCGCTGCTCTCGAGAACGCGATGCAGGTGACGCGAAACGAGAACATCTTCAGACTCAGCGAGGAAGACTTTGGACTAATGAGAACAAAGGTGGCGAGCTGCATGGCTCTCTTGATCTCACAATTCGACATTCTTGGCGCTCGAAGCAGTGTAGCCAAGGCGAAAGAGGAACAAGAGAGACTTGATCGTGAGCGTGCCGAGCGCGAACGCTTGCGTCATGCAGAGTCGTCGGCTGTCTCGGCGTTGCGCGCGAACCCTACGCTGAAGGACGGAGCTTCTGCTGCCTCTGCATTAGATGGCTCCCACAAGGCAGAGGCCGCCAAGCTTGTAGCGGATACGGGTGGCGTAGGAGCCCCGCCCATGCTCAATCGTCACGACAGTGGCATGCAGGCGACCGAGGAAAGATGGATGGCGAAGGTGCTCGAGTGGGAGGCCGCTCGTCAGGAGACCGAAACGGAGCAACGCCTCATAGGCCGTGTCCTCGATGAGACTATACCAGAAGATCGAGGCCTTCAGTTCCTGGCTCAAAACAGCAGCAAGTATCAAATTCGATGGCAGCAAGGGCGTTTCATTGGTGCAGGTACCTTTGGGACCGTGTACTCTGCTGTCAACCTGGACACCGGAAACCTGATGGCAGTGAAGGAGATACGTTTCCAAGACATCTCTCAAAATCCGTCGCTATACCGCCAGATCAAGGATGAGATGAGCGTCATGGAGATGCTCAGTCATCCAAACATCGTAGAGTATTACGGCATCGAAGTGCATCGGGACAAAGTCTTCATTTTTGAGGAATACTGTCAAGGAGGTAGCTTGGCCCAGCTACTGGAGCACGGCCGAATCGAAGACGAAGCTGTCGTGCAAGTATACACGTTGCAGCTCCTGGATGGATTGGTCTACCTGCATTCTAAAGGAGTCGTGCATCGCGACATCAAGCCAGACAGTGAGTGGAGCGCAAAGAATGATTAGTCTTCATGCATCCATACTTACGACGCCATATGTTGCACGACAAAGATATTCTGTTGGATCACGTGGGCGTGATCAAATTTGTCGACTTCGGCGCGGCCAAAGTTCTTGCCAAGAACTCCAAGACTATGCAGCGCAGCCGCCGCCCCGGTGCTGTGGGTCCAGGCGCCATCAAACAACAAAGCAAGGGCGCCCCGGGGGGCATGGGAAGCTTACAAGGCACGCCGATGTATATGTCGCCCGAGGTCATCAAGGGCGAGACTCGGGGCAGACGAGGTGCTATGGACGTGTGGAGTCTTGGATGTGTCGTTTTGGAGTTCGCTACGGGTCGCAGGCCATGGAGTCAGCTCGACAATGAGTGGGCAATCATGTTCCACATTGGCATGGCGCAGCAGCACCCTCCTTTGCCCGACCCCGGCCAGCTCAGCGAGGTGGGCATCGACTTTATACGCCAGTGCTTGACCATCGACCCATACGACAGACCCTCAGCAAGCGAGATGCGCGAGCACCCCTGGATCAAGGGTCTCACCGATGACCTTCGCCGCGCTGACGAAGAAGAGAGTGAGTTGCAGAAGTCGTCTTTGAGCAAATTTTCTATCGCGAGCGCTAGCTGACAAGACAACTTGGATGACCCGTTGCAGGAGCAGCGGCTGCAGCTGCTGGTGCTGACTATCAGCGCTTGAGCGTTGACGGCGATGATAGCGCTGCTGGTGTGGCAGCCATGGCCGCCACACCCGGCACCCGCTCCGTGAACGGCTTCACCTTTGGGGAGCGCCAGTCCTCTCAAACGCCGGGCTTGGCGAGCATCAGATCAGGCTATGCGGGTAGCATTACCAGCTGGGCCCAAGCGACAGGTGCGGCGTCGAGCGTCACGACACCACTGGACAGTCTCGGAGGAGAGCCGCAGTTTCCCGGCATGAAGTCCACGGGCACGAGCAGCTTGCACGTGCCGCGCGGCAGGGCGCAAGACTCTTTGCGGAGCGGAGCAGAAACGCCTCAGGACAGCGCCGGTCTGGAGACTGGAACGTCGCAGGAACGCTTTTTTGGGGAGGATCCTGATGCATGTATACCGAGTTCCCAGAAGCACGAGGAGGCCGCAACCTACGCGGATCTGGCATATGATAGGGAGAATGAGGAGAGGCGTCGGCTTGCTAAGCCTCAAGACGATGGTCTCTGAGGCCCACAATAAGTGTGCACAGAACAAACAAGGGCGCCTGACTCTTTCCGTCCTACTTGCCGCCCAGAGGGACAGCACGATATGCCTGCATCTGTTGACGTGCTTCTCGATAAATTTGTACAATCTATTGCGTTGCTTGCATCAAATACATGCCTCATATTCCGTCTGAGCTTGCGCGATGCCGAATCTGAAATCATGTACAGACTGCACCAAGTCGAGGGGAGTGCCAAGAAATCTGACGTCGAAGCATACTTTATTTCACATCCGATGATAGTGTGAAAAGTGGAAGGTACGTCATCAATTCGCGCTCAAAGTGTGGCGATCACTCCCAATCCGAGTCTTCTCCGCTCTCTTCTTTCTTGGTGCTCGCAGCAGCGAGCGCCCGAGCATCCTCTTCGTGCTCCTCTGCCTCCCAGCTACTAGTCTGAGGTCCCGTCGTCGTTTGCAGTCCCGAGTCTCGGCTGGATGAAGCGCTCATGCCCTTGCGCGCAGACGGCGCGATTGTATCAGTTTTGATCGGCTTTGGAGTCTGTGCGTGCGCTTGGGCTTGGGCTTGGGCTTGGGTTTGGGCTTGAGCAGACGCTTCTTCGGCTTCTGCGTCCCAATCGAAATCATCCGATATGCTCTGACTGCTTGAATTCTGACCAATCTTGCTCTTACTCGAGCTGGCTGACTCGGGCTGAACAGGCGTCGATCGTGCTGTTGGGTGGCAGAGCGAGTTGGTTCAGCTTGACGGGGCCAACGCAGCAATCACAACCATGCCCAGCACGCGAACATCTGTCAGACAGACACTTACCCAGCTTGCTGTCGCCCTGCGGCGTCCCGTTTTGATCTCCCTTTTGGCTCACTTCGTTCGCCGGCACGACCTTGACCAAGTCGCCCACCAAAGCGGACATTTCCTTGCCAACATCCCTAGCCAAATTTTCGCTGGCCGCATAGTACTTTTTCGCCAAGTCTTGACTCGCCTTCCAATCCAAGTGCGGCAGAGCTTGCTGAAAAGTCTTTGTCAATGCGGGCAGAGCCTCTGAAGGTGCGGCCAGTGGAGCCGTCGACGATTCGTCGGACTTCTCCCTTGTCTCGTCTTTGGCGCCCACGTTATTCCCTTCGCCTGACAAAGATGAGAGCGTAGACGCTAGCGATTTTTGCAACTCCAGAACGCGAGGTTGAGCTTCGGATACCAGCGTACCTTGTACGCGCGTGAACCAGGCCTGAGCGGAGCCTAGGGCTTGAGAAAAGTCTGTAGTCGCCGTGCGCTCATGTAGCCGGTTGTCCTTCACATCGGCACGCCCTCTTGCCGAATCAGAGTCCGCATCGAACAATTCCTCATTGGGCGTTCCGAGGCCAGTAGATCCGGCTTGGCTGCTCTGAGATCCCTTGGGAATAGGTAAAGTCTCGCCCATTTCGGAGTACTGCTCCCCATCAAAGTCTCTTCCGCTATCCATCTTTTCGGAATCATCATCCAGCGCTTTCGCCTTGCCCTTGCCTTTGTTCGAAGTATTACCGGATGTGGTCTCTCCCTCTGCTGAGGCCTCAAGAGGCACTTGTGCTTTCTCTCTCGCCGCCTTTTGAGCCTCGTTGAGTTGCGCCTCTAGCTTGGCAGCTTCAGCGCGAGCCATGGCCATCAGACCGCCCTGAGCGTCGATTTGTTTCCGAGCTGACGCCAACGTGTCTTGCGACTAGTAGCATACAATAGGCAGCATATGATTAGCATACACCTTTGAGTCGGTCGATTACATGCCAGAGAAAACGACTCACTCTCTTGCTCACGCCGCTCCACCAACTTCCTAGACTGCCGACTAGCTGCGACACCTCCTGTTCCAATGTTGGCTCTACTCCTACGGGCTGAGCTGTCTGGTTCGCTTCTGATGTACTCTCACCTTTCCCACTTGATCCGTCCGTAGCGCTAGTAGCTGGTAGACTCATCGTTGCCGACGAGGTCGAGTAGAAATGAGCATCCGTCACGTCCATGACGAAAGTTTTAGAGAAGTGCGGTGTGCGCAGATGATCGCTGATAGGACGGGCAAGTCCCTTGAAGGTAGACTGTAGGCCTTTTCGATTGCGCTTTGAGTGTGGTGCTCTCGGTTGCGTTTTCAGTCCGCACTCGTAGCTGACGTTCCAAAGTGATGGAAGTGTGAGCGTCTATGAGCCAGTGAGTCGTGAGTCTGGGTGCAACTCTGCTGCTCGGTGGTACGGCGCGTGCTGCGTGTGAGGCGGCATGTGGCTGCGCAAATCAAAATCAAGGCTGCAGCCCACATGCATCCCAGCCGTCACGTGGACAACTGCACGCGGTCGATATGTCCAAGCACTCAGACTCGCACTCGTGAACTGCAAACTCATGCTGAGGTCTCAATTCTAAAGTCATAGTTAGTAGTATATACAGACGAGTTTGATCCGTAATTAAGAAAGGGGTGCGGTCCAGCTAATTGCCCCCTGATGCGCATCCAATCGTGAATACGACGCACGGCAAAGCTCAGCTGCTGCTGCTGTCTCCGCTACGGATCTGGATGCAGCAGCACGTCGCCGAATCGAAGGATACAAGTCTTGCCCTCGGCTTTCATCTTCTTGATTACTGTGAGTCGTATGAACAGTCGT